CCAATTGGCGGAATGTATTTTGTTGTTCGTTTGGGAGAGACTATTCTTAAGTGCTTTTCACTTCTTGGGGAATGAGAGTTAAAGAGAATGGTCTCATCGAAATCTCCCCCATTCGATGATACATTCAAGAAAAAACTGACCCTGAGGCGATGATGTTGAAGAGCTAGATGAGTCAATTTTAAAATGAGTTTTCAATGAGTATCATTGACTCATGTCGAAGACTTCTTGATATCTCATTACAAAATTCTCATTAAAATATTATGAGCCCAATAATTTTTCCAGACATTTTCAAATTTTTCCTCAAGATCTCCATTCGAACCTCGAAATGACAGCTCATTCGTCCCATTGTGCACCTACTCCAAAAATATTGAGAATTAAAAAAATACCTTTCCCTTTTCCATCGAAATATTCCATGTAATGTGTAAACATATGAGAATAGATTTCGTATTAGTGGGGAATACCCAGGGGTGAATATTTTAAAGGCAAATAAAAGGCGAGTAAACAAACAATAAAATCATTCTCGATTAAAATGGAGCTGTCGAATGAACGAATAAAAGATTTCAACGAAAGTGGGTCACTATAAATACCCTAGATGAGGAAAAAAAAGCCGCAAGCGATAATAATCCTTCGTGGATTGAATTTCCACTCACCTTGAAGGGATAGTACTGTCCTTGTGACATTTTATTTTCCTCGTTACTCCACTTGCTCCAGGAAATCTGCAACTGATAATTTCGAGGGTTCAGTTAACTGCGGCGTATTGACTTGAAACGGAATTATGCCGGCAAACAAACACATGAGCACAGGTGATAAATCGAATATAAAAATGGTGTCATCGGGAAAATGTCAGGAATTTGATGGGAGATTTTTTTAGTGGGTGAGGACACATGATTTGATAAATCAATTATTATGGTAATTAGGCGATGAGGTCTTACCGTTTGCTGTGTCGACGGTTTAATGACGAGCCAACACCCAATGGTTTCGTTTTCGGTTATAGACTGGCCAATACCGTTGGCATGTGTGTGTCATGCGTGACGACAATCCATTGGAGAGGGAAAATTCCAAGGAATTCTACCCCCACTCTGTCATCTAGGATGTCATGTCTCTAGTTTTTTCCGGCACTATATTTTTTTAAATGATTT